AAGTGGTTGTAGCCATGTATTTCAGACCAAAATGTAGCGGAGTAGTTTTTCTTGGCCACAGCCGTTATGTCGATAGGCAACTGCTAGCTTTTGTTTCCCACATAAGATAGTTTGTTTATTTACTATAGTTGACGACAGTTATGCCCTCCGGCGATTAGCCTCGGAGCGAATGGCTGAAAAACCGGAGGACATGTCAATTATCACCAATGATATAGCTTGACGAATATAAAAACCCAAAGAAAATGATAAACAGAAACAGCGTGAATTTTGTTTTTTTAAAAAAAAAGGTAAAAGCCTTTTTACTTGTTTTAGTCTGATAAAAGCTTTCTTTTTGTCTTTTTTTCCATGAAAAATAACAGAAGCTCAAAGCATCAGTAAATCTTGTGCTATTTATGTTACAGATTTAGATTAATGTGACAGTCTGTTACTGTATTTGAATATTTATGTCTGGTTTTGTTCCGTAAGAACACGGTACACCGGCAATTAGTTCATTTTCTGTAGAGAAAAAATATTCTGGAGAACTTTCAAACAGTTTTTTTGCATCTAATTTTCTCAAGAAAACACTAATTGTAGTTCGAACTTCGTTGATTTGTAGATGCTTCCACTTAAAAAGTTATTTTAAAATTCAGTCTTTCATTCAAAACGGTTCCATAATCATTAATATTCGTGCGAGAGCTTGCATCCCAGAACACCATGCATTCGGCCCGAGCGGCATTGAAAGTTGGTGGGTACAGGAACTGAGGAGAACTCAGAATTTCTATGAAAAGTGAAAATGACAAGTTGAATCCATTCATTTTGTAAACTACGCCATTTGAAGGAAATATACACTCTCCGTCTTATCGCGTGGAAGATCAGTTGCACACACGCGTGCATTGTGTGGAGTCTAGCCAAGTTATAAGAACATAAAAAAGTGTAAATTATGCCTGAATTAAAATCTGTCACCAATACGCAGAATACTGCCCAGGCATTTTTGGAGCTAAAACTGCAGCACGGGCAAATTCCAAAATCCAAATCGCATTTAAGCCATTCAATTCATGACATGTTTTAACTTATTAGGGACAGGATCTTCGACAAACCAAGACGGTAACTAGGACGTGGCATAACATGAGATCTATTGATGAGTGGAACAATAGCTCAGCACGTTCGTCTTAACGGCTGAATACATTTCTTAGCTGTCCTCTACAAAACGACAACGTCACGGAAATCACCCAAATTTACTTGGTCTGGGAACGGAAACCACGATGGAAAATAATTTAAGTTTCCATTTGCCGACTCAACTTTGCTTACATACGTTATGCTGAATTGGATTTGCGGCACCGTAAGAAACGGTAAACACATCTAGCCATTCGTTAAATTCTGACTAAAAAATGAATTCATTTCTTAAATCGGCGTCTTCCTCGGCGTTGCCGTCCTGACTGCATAAGGCCCTTAAATGACTCTTAAGGACCAGTGTTGCGTGTATAAAAGATTTTCTGCCTCTTGACGAATTAAATCTAATTTCTAAATCTCGATTTTCGTTTTCTAAATTTTGATGGTCTTTGATAAATATAGAATTTAATCTGGGCTGTCTTCTCCTGATGTCTAATGTGTGGCCTGTAATGCATCGCTTGAAGAATCTGACTGAAACGGATTATTGGGAGAAATCAATCTCTTGCTAATATTTTGGGTGAACATTTTCCAATAGTGAGCTCTCTTTTCTTCCCTCCAGCCAGGGATTTAAATTGATGCCAGAGAAATGGACTCAGAAGCATCCATTTCTTGAGCGATCAGTAGTACTTCTAGCTGTCCTTCATGCAGAAACTGGATCGTGTTCAGACAGACAGCTGGATCTTGCGGTTTCTTGTTGGTTTCCTTGCTAGCTGTCCCTCACGATATCAGCGTGACACGACCACAGCAACATACAATAAGTCTCGAGAAAAAACGAGGGAAAATAGCTTCTAAACGCCGAGGTTCGACCTTGCAAAACACAGTAAAACACGTGACTCACTAATAACACGTGTATCCCGCTGGGAGAAAAACTGGTACCAAATGCGCGGGAACGCTAGAACATGAACTATAAAATCGACTGCATATGCCCACCCAGGTACACACAAAAATTCGGTCAAACACTAAGGTGCTCTTACAGTCCCGCCACTGGATTCTGAAATCCAGGCTTACTTTAATACGAGTTGCATTATTTCAGACAGAAGTTAAGGGGATAACATTTCGTTTCTATATGTGGTCCCAAAACTTTCATGAAAACTTACCTTTTGGCGGCCACAAGTTTACTAACTTAGGGTTATTTATTTTGTTACCGTATCAAGATCAAGCGCTTTTCTTACTTATTTGTATTATCGTTCAAAACCCCTTGTTTTCACATCATTGTACTTGATAGGTGAACGTAAACAGCTTATTACTCGTATGGTTAACTGACATGCGTAGACTGATTCCTAAGAGAACACTAATAACATTACCCCCGCCAAACAATGTTCGAAGCCAAATTACCCTTGAGTATACGCAAGGGTGACGTCCCTTCTAATCATTTAGATGTACACATAAAGTTATTGCTGACCATAAAGCTCGCGGAAGACATTACCGTGCATTAAAAGTTGTACAACGCGAGTTATTAACTTCAATAGTGAAATATGTCTTAAATAGAGTTCATCTGGGAAAAGCTAAATTTGAAGTGTATGTTTAGATTATTGCTGAGAGAAAAAATATAGAGCGACATAGCCAAATGGCTAATTACTTATAAAAACAAATGGCCAAGTAACATAATGGATAATACTTTTGTTAAATACATGCAAATTGCGGCGCTATGGAAAAGGTCTCAAAAAGTAAATAGATTGGGAAGTCTGCGAATTAAACTGTCTAACATGCACAGGAAAAACAGTCTGCACCGAAACACAAGCTCGATGCGGATTGCTCGAGCAGCCCAGGTGCGCTTAAACGAGATAAGTGACAAAATAGAGCGAGACAAACATAAAAGCAACAAATCAAATTATCATGAGAAAGTTAAAATATGGAGTGGCTCAAATCGATTCATCGCGTGTTTGAACCACTCTACGTTATCAAAGAAAATCAAGCAAGACTTGCAAGAAGTCAGCCTGCTCTTTCAAAACTGGACTAAAAAAATCGCGCGCGTGAAAGCGATGGGATGCGAAAAGATGGATCTGTGTCTGTAAAACAAGAGCCTAGATTATTACACTGAAGAGCTGAAACTCAGAGTAACGCGATAAAATCAAGACGGAGACATACTGAACCCGCAATGAAAGCATTGAAAGGATGGACAGCCAAACCCGATAACTCCAGAAGTCAGGATACCGTAGCAGGTCCCGTGCAGTTGAGGCGGAGGTCGCACAACTGGTCTTTCCCAGGGTCCTCGAAAACCGAGGCAGAATGCCCACGATTGGCACTACCTCAGAGGACCGAGAGAGAGCACGATTCCAAACTCCGCAGCACTTCAGGGGAGCCTCATATTACTAAATCATTGTGCTCAATTGCATTGGGCTATATGGCTTTCAAACGGGTTTTAAAGAACAAGAAATTGTCCCAAGGATTGCAACCCAAAGTTGTTTATTCCAGATTCAGGTCGATGTCGATGCACGAGACAGAACTCAGTGCAAACTCGCGGTTGGTCATGCCTGAACACTCAGAGGCAATAAATGAAAAAGAGGACACTTTAAAAGGGCTATTTCCAGCCACACAGAAAACTGTTAATCCACATTTAGTAAAATAAAGATAAAGGTAATCGAAAACCCAGTTCTAAAAGGTGTGCTTCGGCGTGCATCAGTAGTAGACGACAACTTGTTTTATCGCTATCCTGGCCGTTAGGCGATTCACCTATGAACCCTACAAGGGTGCAAAAAAGCTTACTTAGCCCTGATCATATGCCACACGCACAGAGTCCAAATGTGTCTCCTTCACGCTCTGAAACGTCTGTCAGAAGTGGGAGACACGCATTGAAAATGTAGCGAGAAAAAATGGAAAGAGCTTCTGGCTCAGTTGAACAGGAGCACTCAAGCGAGAGTGACGAGGAAATCAAGTTCGGAGCATTTGATGAAAATGTTGGTGAAAAATCTTTGCTTAGCAGGCTGAACAAACCACCCAAAAGAGGGTCCAAATTACTAAAACCAGTGGGAACTGGTTGTTTCAGTAAAATTTTCAGACTTTAAGTCACAGCAAAACATGAAATATTGTTTTTCGTTTTTGTCGCAGAGGTAAAAATTCCATTTGAAAGGTGTACAGATACAATATATTCACAGATGATACAATAAATGCCAAAGAAAGACGCTAAAGAAAGATTGTCGCAACGTCTTATCATTGAATTGGGACACCCTTGACAATTATAAAATTGGGTGTTACCTTTAATTTTGGGTGTTACCTATAAATTTGGGTGTTACCTTTGAGGAAGTGCCAGTTAATTGGGACACTCATATTAATTATCTACTTAGTAAGGCTAGCATTAGGTTGTATATTTTAAGAATATGTAAATATTATGGCTACTCTATTGAGAATTTGGACTTACTTTTTCAAAGTTTGATTCTTTCACTTTTTACATATGCGATTGAGGTCTGGGGGTGTGCTTTTTATAGTAAATATTTAAGTAGGATTGATAAGCTCTTTGCCAGGTGTTATAAGCTGGGTTATTGCTTAAAGCAGCACAGTATCTTGGATATCCGTCGTAATAGAGATAAGAAATTATGGCAAAGGATCTCTTCCACCAACACTGAGTTAAGCGATCTCTTACCTCCCCAGAGAATACGGCAGTTGAGAACTGGGTCGCATAATTGTATTTTACCCAAGGTTCAGACAAGCTGTTTTAAATTAGTTTTTATTAATAGATGCCTTTTCAATAGTAATTAATACCTTTTCTTTTTCTTTATTCATTCTATTCATGTTAATTGTTGCACGTCTGTTTGCACAATAATTCTTAATAAAGACCTTTATTATTATTATTATTATTATAAATATCGAAGTTTCAAAAATCACACATTAGTGGCCAAAATCGGCCACTAGAGTCTAAAATCGGACATTAGCCACCTCCACTTCGATAAATGTTTATTGAATATGAAAGGAAAATTTTTCGTATCCTATTTGGTGCTCAGAAAGGAATAATAGCTGAAGTTCTCTTACTAGTTGTTATATAGAAATCTTTTTAGATTTATTTTGAACAGTAAAAAGTCAAAGTGACGAATATTGTTCATCCTGAAATTGTTTTATTTCACCAATTTGGTTTTTGAAAAAACTTTTAATCCTTTCCTCATTGCTACAGTATTTCGCTAGAATCTTCTACAATTGCATAAGTTTCATCTACAGCAAAAGTTTCCATTGGACCTACTCAGTTGAGTCAATCAAGACAGACTCTTTGTGTTGATCGATAGTTTGTTAGGCATGCAACTACAAAAGGAGATCTTCTATCAGGGCCCTGAATTTTCTCCCTTGCTCCGTACTCAGCTAAGGATAGAATCGTACCGTTCGACGAGAACTCGGCCGATAAACTTTTGTTGACGCACAAATACACAGATTTATCCTAAGGGTTGTAATTTGATTTCGACCCATTTAAGACGAGCTGGCGTTTTGTTGTTCTGGTACCAGTATATTCCTGTAATTGCCAGACCAGTAAGGTTGTAATTCCCGTTCAGATTACACTGTGTGCACGCTTTGTACCACCAGCCGCCCTGATGGTCCACAGCACAATGGCTTGATGCATTATTATCTTCATCTTTATCTTTAGTAGAGAAGCGAGCGCCGACATTGTATGAAAACGAATCTATGCATGAACCTGCAAATTTACATACAAACCAAAAAAAGATTGAGTAACATACACGTTAAGAGATGTTGGGGCCTCCCACCCCTTTTTCTGACGTTGTTCTTTGTGATTTTGATTCAGTTTGACGGATATCACCCCGAAAATGACAAGTCCTATGTTGCGAAGTCTACTCGCAGGGACATCAGTCTGCTAATTTTTCTTTGGAAGGGTTGAAACGACACGTGAGGAAAATGAAATCACATTATCCCAGGAAGACAAAGGTCAGTCAAGATAGCGGTTACCTTTGGGCTTATTTTTAATCGGTTAACCAATTTATCAATTAATTGATTTTCCCATTTTTTACATTTAATATTCAATTATAAAATGTTTCCCCATTTCCTTTATAACAACAGAGTGCAATAACTTTCAAAGGTTCAAGGTCGACTGCGTACTCGTCAGTAGCAAATAGATCTGGGTCAGAAGGAAAAGCTCTAACATTACCCACCGGTGTAAGATCCTACACTTTGCAGACGAAATCCATCATCTTCCCCGCTCACAGTAAAGTTTTCGTATTCAGCCCAGCACCAATACCTCTTGAAATCTCTTATCTCCACTCTCAACTTTTGCTGTCTCTGATCGGTCAGTCTGTGTATCTTTTCAAGTCCAAGCCAGAATTCTCGCTGCAGATTACCAAACCCCTTCTTGTAGTCTGTCCAACCGCGGTAAAAATCAACCGAGCCGTCCATTCTCCTCTGAATGACAGTCCAGGGTTCTCCTGCGGAGTTAATCTGATTACAATATATTTGAAAGCCCCCTTTACCATCTGGATCAATCGCGTAAACACCATCTGATGAACCACCTCTCTTCTTTATTTCTGCGCAGCTCTTAGAAACTGAAACTTTATGGAAGAAAGATGAACAGAAAATGACTTTCTCATTTGAAGCAAAAGTTACAGAGTGAAATAATTATGCATAAACCATTTGACCCCTAAGTGACTAACATCTAATTTCTCCAAACAAAGTCAAACCTCGTTCCCAGGGCTTTTCCCTTTTTGAATTTTCGCGGCAAAATTCAAAAAGGGAAAAGCCCTGGGAACGAGTTTGAACAAAGTCAACCCTAAATCACGAGAATAACTAACAACTATTCACCAAAGTGGAGGTGGTTAGTGATGGATATTTACCAAGCCGCGAGGTGAATAGTTGTTTTAGTATTAAAACAGTGAGATAATATACACCACCGTCGTTAATTTGAGTGATTTCTTCACTTGTCACGGATGCAAACCGGGACGCCATTCTTTCCCGAGTTGCTCGGAGGTAAATAGCAAAGGATATTCGGAGTTTGATTAGCCAATCAGAGAGCGCCTTCAACACTATTTACTGTTTTAGTATATACTAAAAGAAAATAATCACCAGTTAAAGAATCTCCTGATTATTAAACAAATTCTCCTTGTCAGCACCTTATTGGGAAGTGTACAGCTAGAGAACAATAGGGACAATATGCGCACTGATGTTACTAGGTTGTAATTAAAAGACTTATTACCAGTTAACTGTCAGTACAAGATCACACCTATGTGAAGAATATCAAATATTATTCTAAAAATTGGTTATTAGACAGCAGCCAATAATCTTAATTATGGAGAAGGTATTTTTTAGTTGTTAATCTAAGTACAAATTTTAATTTTGGAAGACTTGATGTGGACAATCACCATAGTTAGTAGAGGGGACTGGCCAGTGGAGGGAAGTGGGGCGGAGGATTTTGGCTATGTTGCAATATTACATATCTGATCCTCTTGGGCTTTCTAGCATTTTTATGATCCCCGCTCACTGGCAGTCATTGTTAATTTTCTATTTCCCCCTTCCCTTCCCCCTTTACACTGTTAGCAAGGCCTTATGCTCCTCCGTTCCCCCCCGAAAACTATGTAAATCCCCCCTCCCCCCTCCCCTTTGCAGGCGATAAGGAATCACTGGTTCTTAAGATATGGATCTATCGTTAATTATAAATGGTGAAATTTCGGATCTGTTTTTAATGAGTTATCATTCCTCAGTTTTTACCTTGCATTCTTTTATGGCAGTACGATCCTGTATAACCTGGCTTGCACGCACATCTGAATCTTCTTCTGTCACAGGTTTCTTGGCAGGTCCCATCGTTGAGACAATAAAGATTTCCACGACAACATCCATTGTGACATTGTAGACACTTGGTTCTTGACTTCACGATGAAAAAATAAATAAATTAACAAAAAAATTAAATTTGAAAGTTTGAAAACCAGCATAGCTTTGTTATTTTAACATGTACGTTTCTAAGAAGAATTCACGGGTAAATTTCGTGTGTTGATTGTACCACAATGCTACACTCAGTTCTACTTCTTAAAAGCATTCGTACCTGCCTTTTCACAAGAAAAATAAACAAAAAAATTCGGGTCTTTACTCTAGCCCGCTGCCTATCGAGCCGAGCTAATTTCTATTTCCTTCACCACTCCCCACGATGGGATGCTGGTCCAACGCAAAGTTTGTTTGTCTTACCTCAATGTTAAACTCAATTCCTATTTCATGATAGCTGAATCCAATGGTTCTCTTCAATGCCCCAGGCTCCAGATATCTGTCTTGTTCATTCAATTGACAGTTTTCCTGCTTTATTCTCGTTACGAAGTTGAACGACTTACATCGACAGTCCCACACACAGTTCTCGAAACAGTTCTTGTGGCTCTGCACTGTTAGGTTCTTGAAAATGTGGCCATGGAGGGCGTAATTTTCCAGACTGTTTCTCTCTTTGGAAAAGCTGTATTGTTTAACTGAACATGGCTGTATTGGGCATATATTTGATCGGCTGTATCCATAGTTTGTGAAAAATACGCCATACAATATCCAATAGGAAATTTTTATCGTTTGCAAAAGAGGCATCCTAGTAAAGATACAAAGGAAATATTTTAGATGTCTAATCAACAGTTCACGAGAAAATACTGTCCGAGAATAAATTATTTTATCGCTAAAATAAAAGGTGAGATGCTAGAGTGAGACTAGCTAGAAATTAGTTTTCTAAAAAAATGTTTCTTAACCCGTTTGAGGACAAATTAGAAGTTGAACCTGTACACAATTAACGATGTCGAACATATTTTCGGGTGAAGTTTGTCATTAAGCAACTAACCGCTCTCTCTATCGGTTTTCCGGAGTAATAATCCACTTAGGTGGTTAGGAGAACATGAGAATAAATGATCTATAAACTTTCCTCTTTTTCTCCCAAAAATCCTTAGTAGATTATGAAGCCGGTAAACCGATAGAAAACGCTTTTTATTGCCCATATAAAATAAACTTAAAATGTATCAATTTTTTAGGGGTTTACCTGTGCAACAAACGATTGGTCATTGACCAATAAGGGCCCTCAGTTATTTTATAAAGCTGTGTAGGTATCATTCCTTTCAAAAATAGAAACTTAGACTTACTTATTATGACCAGATGGCTCCTAATGATCTTTTATGTGAAAGTTAAAACCTGGGTAACGTTGAAAATGACAACATATTATATATATTACCCCATACTTTTTACCGAAAACAACTTGGCGCAGGACTGTAGAGAAGGTACTAAGGGAGCTCAATTACAGCTGCAGCACCATTGAAAAACTGGCTAAAGATAGGTAGGGTTGGAAGGATTTCGTTGCTGCCCTGTGTGCCCCACAGGCATGATGGGCATTAAGTAAGTAAGTAAGTAAGTAAGTAAGTAAGTAAGTAAGTAAGTAAGTAAGTAAGTAAGTAAATACTTAACATTTTAAAGTCGTTTTACCCTCGGCGATGTGTTTACAATTGCTGTCGTATTCCCAGCCCGTGCTATTCCATTGTCATAGTCAGTGTCAAACTTTTGGAAAGAAAATAAACACCGAGTGTTTTCTCATAGTAGCACTTTTCAAAAACATGCTTGTTCTAATAATTCCCTTTTTTTTTAAAACAAAAAAACTCAAACTTTAACTGAGTGATCTGGCCCTCCAATTTTATTAGCTTCTATGTTTTAAGTGCCACGATTCGCTTGAATTAACTATTTTTCTTTCCTTGTTTGCATTTCAAGTTATTTTCGAGTATTTCATCAAGTCTCCGAAAGCAAATGTAAGCCATAAATTTTGCTTTTTCATTAGAAGTAAAATTGTGCCGGAGATGAATATTTTTTTGGACTCAAAAATGCCATCTATTAAACTTGATATAGAATTAACAGTGTCACTTTTAACAGCAATTTCATCGAAAATTTATATTAAGATTGGTTATTTCATGGGTCTATTTTTGCATCGAGTTACTCCTGAACCAGTATAATTCAGAATCTTACAATTTTCATCTTTTGGCTAAGGAAGATTATGGAAGATTAGTGTTAAGGAATAAAATAAAGTTTTATAAACGAAAGTAAATACTATATTGTGCTCAGTAACTAAAACACATTAAGACAGAAGTAAGAGTTGAAATATAAGTAGAAAAATTTGGCCAGATACCTTTGGGAAATACTAGTGCAGTTAGGGAAACTCCGCAAATTTTTTTTGGCTCCTCACGAAAACCTTTTCGAGGCTCCAGGGAAACACTTTTTAATTCGATGAGCTCCTGTCACGATATCACGATGCAGGAAAGTTTTGTCTAGACTAAGAGCAAAGTCGACTACTAAAGACATTTCACAAAACAATGTGAAAACAAGATTTTCGTCCTATCAAAGAGTGATGTATTTGGAAGGCCTAGTTTCTTTACTGCACCGCGAGGAAGTAGTAACTACCTCAGACGAAACCCAACGTATGTCGTTCCTTTCTGCAAAAATATTGCATTTTGTCTTCCCTATCGACCAATTATTTCAACCAAATAAATTCAAAACAAAAACTGACTTAAATGAAATAATTGTTTTCTGCAAAAGAAAACTGCAATTTCTGTCTTCCCTAGCCTTTCATGGCATGATTTTTTATTTTATTATGTGAAGTCAAATTGAAATATCTAGAAACCCTCTGACTGCCATCGTTTGATATCTTCATTTATCTTTACTGACATGAATTTCCGTCGTCAAAACTGTCTTCAAATCTCCTTTGTTGATCGCAAAGGAAATTTATCAAACCGAAACGTCATTTTATTATAATATAACTCTAAAATCCTTGAATGTAGAAATCTAATTTTCCAAAAAAAACATACAAATCTCCCTAATCCGTTACATTTGGTAAAACAAAATCATATCTCACGTACCTGCCAAGTCGCGTCTATTCAGTTTAGGAAGGAAAATATGACATAAAAATATAATTTCAAACCTAAATTTCTGCAGAGTCTATTGATCAAACAAGGTCTAAAAAGTCGAGAAAGGATTTTTCAAAACGTTTTTTTTAACCATCATTATACTCATTCAAAGTAAGGACAGGATCATTTTGAACATTTTGGTCCAAAACCAATATGTATGCATTTGTGCACTAAAGACGGCTACAGTGTTTCTCTTTCAGTTTCACCGGTATTATGATGTAGCAATATAACGGCTACTGCATGTCAATCTAAATACTTATTAAGAATTTAAAAAGAACCTAATAAACGTCATTAGAAACTTACGCTTAATAATCCAGAATCTTCGAGAACCGAAGTAGGTCTCGTGGAGATATTTTCTTTCAATTCGGAAAGGATTAGAACGACTTTTCTCTACGGCGCTGAAATTGTCATAATGGGCTTGGTTTTTCAACTGTAATAAATTTCAAAGTGTGCATTTTTCTTCCCTTGTTTGGGTTGCTAATGGGAATAGGGTAAACAGAAGCCCTTAATGTCACAAAGACTGGCTGTTTCGGTAAATCGCTGAATCTAAGATAAATGAAATGTCTGCTGATATTCAAACAAAAATGAAAATGCAATTTGCGTAGCCGGTAAAGTCCAAGAGGAATTTTTTTTTTCTGCTTGTTCTTGGTCAGTGCCGCAAAGCAAACTGCACTTACGATAAAAGTCAAACCTGTCTTCAAGTTTGAACAATGACGAAATCAGAGAGTCATTCATTAAAGTAACAAGGACGTTAGGAGCTACTTTTGTCAATAGTTGTGTTCTTTTGGATACGATTCCGTTACATAAAATTTATCAAAATTCATCATAATATCCAGGGGTTTCATTGAATCCGATAATTGTTTTATTTTGGGAATATTCTCAAGCGCTTGTTAAGACAATGTTAGTTTGTAGAATACGGTACTAGATCACTGATTTACTCAATTATTCCATAAGCGCGCGTTGAACATGAGATGGCAAATAGTCAACAAGGCGTTTTGCACCGTTTTGCTGCGGTAGATCTCGTATCCAGCAAGTGCGAATGGAATAATCATTTTATCAAATCTCTTTCTCGGTTGCTCCTAGCTCAACTCTTCGGCTGCGCTCTGTAAATAGCCCATGGTCTGCCTCCTGCCAGTGGGGTGATTTTTAGCACTTAGCCTACATTGTGGATGAAAAGCCCCTAAGGGGGAGCTTCAGTTAACGTATAATATATTATTATATTATTATAAATCCTTAACGTTTGGATATTTGGAGCTTATATAAATCCAATTTTTTTTTAGATCCAAAACACTTGGCACAACGCATTCCATTAGCAATGCAATATTTAGAGCTGAAAATTTAACTGAGTTTCTTAATTGATATTTTTCTTTATTATCATCATTTGTCTGCTTGATATTGTATTGATATTGTAAGGACAAATTCTGTCTAAAGGGCTAAGCATATTTTATTGTAAGACCATGGAGACCCTCATTTTAATAATATTTAAATCATCTTTTATTGCAAATGGGGCCTTACTTATCTTTTTTAATTGTTATTTTTGCAATTGCCTTCTAATTTATCACTTTAGTTGTATTTGTGTAATTTTTCACTATTTTTTGCAAATCTCATAGTAATTGTAAATTTATTTTTAGCAAATGAGTGAATTAACATTGTTGTAAATTAGGTCTGGAAAACCCACTTTGGAAAAACTGATAAATTGAATTGTTTTGTATAAAAACTATAACCACATGCAACAACATAATTCACTTATAATAATAGACATGTACTGCACAATTATCAATATAAAATTTTCAGTTGGGCATCACTACATCAATGATTAAACCACACTCAATATTAAACTCAAAAATTAAAAAAAGAATGGTTTGGAGCCAATAAAAATTAAGATATTGACACCAATGTATAATCATAAGAATTCAAACTTAATAGCACGTAAACAGTCTCTGATGTGGGAACACTGATGTGGGAACACAGAGAACACCGAGAACACAGTGGTCAAACATCAGGTATGGCCAATTTTCTGTCCAAAATTAGAAAAAAAAACATAAGAAACAACTGTCACTCTTGCAAGACAACTTAGTATTGAAAGCCTGATAGAATGCCACCTGGCTGACCCCATAAGCTGCATAGCTTTTATTACTATCGTGCTAAAATAAAGGTTGTCTGGCCTCTAAAACTACACATGTGCAGTTTAAATGGTGGTGTGAATTTACTAGACCAATCACAAGGCATAGTTACGCAAAACCAATGCAAAACTGATTCTTCTTGCCAAGCAATTGAAAATTTCTCTAACTACATTAAATGTAAATACATCTCATGGCTCTCTTTGGCTTGCTTCAATTTTCATTTCTTCGTTTGAGAGTACAAAGCACACCCCCCTTAGGCCTCAGCGTTAAGGCTTCCTCATGTTTCATATTATCCTGACCAGGGCATAGTGTCAACTCAAACTGCTGCAGCAGCCTCGCCATAAACACTCGAGCCTCAATCTGAGCAAATGTTTGTCCAATACAAGTCCGTGGGCCGAGAGAGAATGGAAAGTAAACAGAGTGTGGAATTTCACCTTTTGCCTCGGGTGAAAATCTGTCAGGATCAAATTGAAGTGGATCTTTCCAAGAATCTGAATGGCGGTGCATTAGGAACTGACTAATATTCACAGAAGTACCAGCAGGGAAGATGTAACCCCCAATGTTCTCATCTCTGGTGGATACACGTGTTATGCCTCCGATGGGAGGATGAAGTCCTAAACCTTCCTTGAGGGTCTGACCCAGAAACTGAAGGTTGCCAAGATCCTTGTACTCCAAAAACTGACGGGAACCAAGAATGTCTTCAATTTCTTTAACAATTCTGCAAGAAATATAAATAATAATAATAATAATAATAATAATAACAATAATAATAATAAACTAAAAATAAAAAGAGGATAAGTAATATGAAATAAATAAAAGCATAATTATAATACAGTAATGTTACAGTCACTTAATTCTCATCAAATATATTTAACAAAGTGAAACACTTGGTTTATTTTATCAGTAAAGCAGTTGGGTTAATGGAAAATTCAGTTCATTTCTTGAAAAGTTTTTAACCTCAATTCATAGGTGGCAATGCATGTTAACAAACAATGCAAAAAGAACAATTTTATACCTGTTTTCAACATTTGGATGCCTTAGTATTTCATAAAGAGTGAAGGATAACTGGTTAGATGTTGTTTCCTGACCTGCAATTAAAAGAAATAGCTATAATGAGACAGCAATAAAAGTATTAGATGCATACCAACAGCAATACTATACACAGTAGAAAAAAAAATTATCAATTGCTACTGAAGATCCAAAAATTAAAGTGCTGGTAGTACATTTTCTGCTAATTAATTCAAAAGGACCAGACTCACTAAGGAAAAAATGCCAAATCTTAACCTTTAAATGACAAAAAGTTTGAGTGTCAGTTTTATGATATGGGACTTACTGAGATCCCACAACATGTTCAGTTGGGCTGTTTAAGTGCAAGTGTGAGGGTTATGGGCTAGTACAGCTGGCAAATTTGCTGAAGTTTTTGTTCTTTCTCTTGCTTCTTGCAACCTGTTAACCTCTTAATTCTGCCCTCTAGCTGCTACATATTTCATTTTATTATATGGTGGTGTCTCACAAGGACTTGGGAACTACCAAATTCACGAATTTGATTGGCTGAAATCAATATTGAAAGCTGTCTAGATTTTCCCATCTAGACCGGCATCTAGACCGGTCTAGAAAAAAAAGGTGCAAAGAATATAAAAAATTGGCATATAAGACACAGCCATGTAATAAACATTTTATTAACCAAGCTAGGTCGGTCTGTATGGGAGAATCTTGACCTCGGTCGCTGGTACAGACCGAACGTAAGTGAGGTCTGTACTGGTGACCTCAGTCAAGATTCTTCCATACAGACCTCCCGCTCGGTTGACAATGACAATAACTTATTTATACTTGAATTTAAGGTAGCAAATACATGCTAATATCTCCAAGTTAAATTATCTAAATTTAAAATATTTAAAATTAATCTAATTACTAACTATCTAAATACTATCTATATATAAAATACAAAATATAATTCTAAAGCAAAGGATATTAAAATATAATCTCTAAACAAGATAAAAACTAAGTAAAATTTATTCTACAGGTCGAATTTCAATCTAGAAATTTCGGATTTAAATTGACTTAATTCAGTAGCAGTCTTATGTTATTGGGAAGCAGTCTTATGTTATTGGTTAATAAGAACTAAGTAAGTTAGTTACAAGAATTTGGTGTTAGATAAAGATAACTTATATCTGTCACGTTGGAGTATTCTCATTACCTGTTTGCTAGATATGAATGGATGTTAAAAGGAGAAGTGACATGTTCATCACTTCTGCGAGTTAAAGGGTTAAGGTGACCAGATTCAATTCTATTTACACTGGTGGCAAAAAAATCTCCAATTTATAATTTCTGTTTACTAGGTACACTATAATCATAATCTTCAGTTCTCTCTGATATTCCAAAAAATAAATGTTTTAGAATATTTCAGTAAAAACGAGAAAGCTCTTAAAAGATGAAATAGCAACAGTTCTGAGTTAAGGTTTTACTGTACATTAAAACAGACACATCATTCAAATAAATTTTCATCTAGTGGACCTATTGTTTGACTGAGTAGGGGAATACATACACTCACCTGCAACAAAAAATGTCACAAAATCATCCACAAGATCTTCAGTTGTGATACTCGCCTGCTTTTCCTTGACACTCAAAATATGAGTAAGAATATCAGGTGGGGTATTTTCTCCTCGTAAAACAGCTTCTTGCCTATCAAGGATCACCTTCTTTCCAAAGTTACGGATGAATTGACATGCCTCAATCACACTTCTTTGATCAGCAAATGTTGATACAGATATCCTCCAAAATGGAGTCCGCAAACTCAGCATGACCCCTTTAAGACATTTGTAAACCGAGGATGGGAAGGGACTGTTGGCATCTTGGATTGTGTCCACATCAACATTGAATGCAACCTGTTGTTTCAGAGAAAATTATTTAAAGGTCTTGAAAACCTTAGACAACAGCCTGGTACTGATTGCAATGCGAGTTAGAAATTTAAGTTCACTTGCTACATCCTGCAGCGGCATTTCAGACAACAGAACTTTTGACAGCTGTTCATAAAGGGGAAGTTGTTTAACCATTAACACCATAAAATCAGTGAGCAAATTCTCCATATTGATCTCCATGCATTTGCCAAGGTGCTGACAAAGAGAATTTGTTTAATAATCAAGAGATTCTTTGATGATCATTTCCTTAATTCTTGTGACCTAAATGTGTGATCTAGGGATTGTATTGAAAGGAGAAATTAGATGTTGTCACATAAACTGGAGTTGTGCATACCACTGAAAAACAGGAAAGGAAAGGTACTCTGTGAATTTTTAATGCTTAACATTCTGTATTCACTAAATGAACTTGCTGATTCACTCTGATATGTGAATCCAAGCCAATTGTTGGATGCAAAATATTTTATTATACGACTCGGGCAGTCAGAGGACCAATAACTAAAATCAACCGATCAAAATGCTCTATTGCTGGTCAATGTTCTCTCAGTATTGGACCGGGCACTGTCCCGAATGATACCGCACTTGTGTCCCTTTGAACTTCAGTCGTATAATAAATCTCTTAGTAACCAAGCTTGCTCGGGACCATACCGAAAGAATATTGGCCCTCAGTCTTTTTTGTACGGACCGAGCGCAGCGAAGTCCATACTGTCAAGACCTCGGGCCGATATTCTCCCAGTATGGCCCTCGCGCTTGGTTAATAGGATATATATATTGTGCACACTTTTCTGCCTTCAAATGGTGGGAGGAAGAGGGGAGGAAGAGGGGCAGAAGAGATTAGGATTGATGTAAAGGGCCTTACTCGAGAGTATACCGAAAAAACATTAAGAGCCAGGTTAAAATGAAAAGGAAAAACACACCACTCACCCTGGAGACTAAAACACAATTTATTCTTTGTAATTATGATTTTCCAATATGGCCAGTTTTTGCTTAGCTTTTGCAGACCAAAGATTGTATCTAAGCAACTAATCCAACATTAACCCTACTTGTAACTTGTTGTCAATTGACTGTTGTTAGGTTGGGGAGGGATTGATATGCAGTAGTTTAGATACGGTGACATAGTGCTATCTATCGAGCAAGAAAGGAAAAGACTACGAGACCCCTCCTCATCTCAAATTAGCTATTCTACATTTCAGGCATAGGAATTCTGCAAAATATCTGCTATTGATAGGCAAATGATACACCACTCACTCCATCCATGCCATTATTTCACCTTTATGTACCTTTCCAATAACATCAAGAGTAACTCTGGCAAACTCCTCCGCCATATTCACAACAGTCTTTCCGTCAGCCATTTCACCCAATTTTTCCAGAAACAGGTTGCAGCTATCGTTGAACGAGGACATTAAATTCATCAAATAACGGCGATGGAATGCCGGGTTTAAGAGTGCTCTTCGTTTCTGCCACACGTCATGGTCGGTTTCGTTTAACACACCGCGTCCGGCTAAACGTTGACCGAAGGGATATCCGAGATGCGCGTAAACGCGAGGATTTTTCGGTAGATTGAGCGTGATTACGCATTTTCGCACAAGTTCTGGATCAGATACGAACGTGAATGGATTATTGAAGACAAACAAAAGAACAACTGGACCGTGAGTTCCGTGGAGTTCATCAACCATTTCGAAGATAGTTTTTCCTTTCGCTCTTTCAGTCAATATATAAGGCAAGTTACCGGAGAAAAAGCTGTCCCGTTTTGGTCCAGGAATATGACTATATTTCCAGTGGAGGTATGCCAAGTAAATCGAAAATCCAGAGAAAATCGCAGCAATCAAAGCAGCAAGCGAAGTAACACACACCCAAAGAGAAATCATAAATGTCGCCATTTTAAAAGCAAAATTGACCAGGCGCATTGCTTTCCAAGCCTCCGCGGCCTATATCTCATGTCAAAATCACTCATTCGTCGGGCGACCGACTTTGGGTTTACCCTCGGGTTTCTCCACAAAGCTCAGTCACGTGCAATGGGAAATACTGCAAATGTGTCCAAATGATGTCATCTTTTCTACGTTCAATCATACAGACCCACACACCGTTCGCGGTAGACCCAGTCTAAAAGATGGCGCGTGTAATGAGCGTATATTTCGAAACGGGTCGTTCCGCGAACTCAAAATAGCAAAAGAATCAGATGATTTAGCGAAGGTCTCACTAGAATTAATAATGATAATTGAACTGAGTAGAGTGCAATTTGGGCTGAAATCTTATGCGTGATTTCAAAATTGAACGAGTGTATAGCGCGAGTTCGATTTTAAAATCACAAGTATGATTTCAGACCAAAATTGCGCGACACGAGGTTCAATTACCACTTTATTACATCCATTTTGAAATGGCCCAAATACAGGACAAATATTTTATTGATGCAGTACTGAGCCGGTTTTTAAATAAAAAGCGGAACCGGAAACGCTTTTAATCTTACTTTGTATGCAAAACAGAAAGACTTTGACATCATGTGTCAAAAACTCAGTCAAGCATAAAATGATGCGATTTAGAGCAAAAAAAGGTGCAATTCGTGAATAAATCGCACCAATTAGAGCCAATCAGATTACAGGGACTACCAGCGATTTCAAAATGGATG